CCATCTCCTTTGTCTGTGTGTTTGAGATCTGTCTCAGCTTCCTCGTTTCTGGTTGCCACCTCCTGGAGGAAGTCATAGATCCTGGCTGATGCTGTCACCACTGACGGGGAAGTGCGCACGCGTGGGGAGGGTCACTTACAGAGCTGGCAGAGGAAGACGAGAGTGTTTGGAAAGCAGAGAAAATAAACAGAGGTTTCCTGTTAACAAGGTGCACTGCTGAGCCTGTCGTGTGGGAGCAGGAGGTTTTGATATTGTTTAAAGCAAAGCTGTAGACAGGAAGGAAGAGAATTCTGTAATTAAGTTTACATAGAATAGCCGTGGTGTCAAGATTGGTGTGTAGAGGTGGTGTTTTTGGGCCTGCAGAGTTATTCAAAGTTTATCATCAGTCATAATTTGGGCTCACCACAATTAAATGAACATCCTCAAGTAGTGGGGGGGAATCTCTAGGATCAGTTTAATTAGGATTTAAGCTAGGTAGCTTTTTAGCACATTTCATACAAAGGGGCTATTCAAAGAGCTTTTAAGATGCTAGGGAAAAAAACTGAAAATGTTCAATTTTATGGACAATAGACACAATAAACTATAATATGCTTAGGGACATGTGATGATCCCCCTCTCTCCTCCTCTGAGTGACAGTTTTACTTTTAAATGGAAAAAAAGAAGTGCCTTAAATTCATTTATTTCCAATAACAAGGAGGAAAAAAAGATCTGTCAGCATTCATTACACCATTATTCAGAAGCAAAATAGAAAAGTCAGAACTTTCTCACTTCAACAACAGTAACATTTCATATAAAGTTGTAGAAAATTATTACCAGACAAAAAATCATACAAATATAAATAAGTTAATAGTAATACTAGGAAGTTCAGCACCAGAGGTAATGATGTCATACTTGGAGTGTGTCTGTCTCTGGGCGACGCCATATTAAACTCCATGTTTTCTTCTACGGGAGCCTATGAGGACAAAATGTATTTACTGTTTTGTAACAAATTGTTACAAAACTTTCGCCATTCGTAAATATTATTGTTTTACACTTCTACCTCTTCTTTTGTACCAGTCTGATGTGTTTTTATTTTTCTAGAGGTTGTGCTCCCAGGGATTTTTGACCCTAATGGCCATCCGTTGTTAAGGTCTTACTCAAACACAAAAATACTGCTTGCTTGCGATGATTTAGGTATGTACTGCCCCCTATTGCCAGGGAAAATACATATTGTCTCTTTAACAATCATTTGATGTATTTTATTCATTACAGTGCAGTTATGCTACAGTTTGGCTCCAACTGTAAGCAAAGCTAGTTTCTACAGACAGACAGGACCTTGTTTAGATCATTATAATCCTGGAGAGGGTTAAAAACTGTTAGTGACAAAAGGCCAAACTGTTCAGACTAACTCAAGCAGAAAACTTTGAAAAACCTTTGAAGTTAAGTAGAGAACAACCGTTGATACCATTTTTGACAGATTAATGCGATTATTTGTTTTACACCACTGATGGTGGTTTTTGACTTGCTGGTCTTGCTCGTCCATCTTGAAAATTAGGTTTAAAATGTTCACTTTGGGCTTTGGTAGGTAACTAAGAGTGGAGACGCAGTTTCCCCTTTTTTCCTAATCATGAAAGCACTCGTCCCCCCTCTCAATCCCTCAGGACACGTTCGTCTGAATAAATACCAGTCTGTAGCTCTTTTATGCACTGACAGCACCTGGAGAGCAGCGTGCATTAAATTCAGCTCTGAGGTCGGCACTGAGCATAAGTATCACTGATTATTGATTCTCGCGAGTAACCCAAAGTGGACAGGTGTTCAGCTGCAGGTTTATGTTTGGGTGGTAACGATGTTTCTGTCTTTTACATAATGTTATGGTACTTCCTCTTTGTGTTTCAGGTTTCAAAAGGACTAAATGTTCCGTTTCAAAATCAATGAAACATTTCTGCCAAATCAACAAACAATTGTCATAAATTAGGTGTGATGTCAACAAAAACCAAAACCATTTAACTCCATTGATTTTCTTCTGAAATATACAATGAATCCAACACTCTGTTCTTGTTTTTATAGATTATTAATATAGATTTCCGTCATTAAATAACTAATCCTTTATTTGAAATGCATTTAAAGGTGGTGTGTTAAGAGGAAAGGCTGACCCCTGTACCCCCCCCCAACCCCCCCCCCCCCCCCCCCCCCCCCCCCAACCTCACATGCTTTGTAGTATTGTCGCTGTTTCCAGAGGCCCAAACTGCAGAGTTGACTGCACACACATGCAGCAACACAAAGAACACTACACAGCCATTATGGACCCAAGAGGCCAGCCACCTTTAGCTTGTCAGAGGCAGAATTAACTGCCTCACACAATGCTTTGCTTGTCTTAGCTGCTCTTAAAACCAAGATGCATGAATTTTTTACTTCTTATTTATTTATTTTGGTTAAAGAACTATACATATCTTGTGCTGTTACATATCATTAACTCTGAGAAATAGCCTCATGTTGCATTCCCTGTCTGATGAGTAAGCTCAGAGCTCCACAGGCCAGTCTGAGCCACTGGAGGGAGAGGTTGCTATTGTGTTCATCCCCAAAGCATGACTGTCAGATTTATATCACCTCAGTGAATAAAGGGCTAGCCTTATACCCTGGGGGGTTGAGTAAAGCGGGAGGAGAACAGTTTTAATTTAACGTCAGAGGAAATGAGATGGCCCTACTACTCCTAACTTAATCCAACTACTTACTCTCTCCCTTCAGTTTGTCTCATTTTACACTTTTTGTCCTCTTTGGTTGTGTTTCTCTCTCTCTCTCTCTTTCTCTCTCTCTCTCTCTCTCTCTCTCTCTCTGTCTCTCTCTCTCTCTCTCTCTCTCTCTCTCTCTCTCTCTCTCTCTCTCTCTCTCTCTCTCTCTCTCTCTCCTGTGTTAGTAAGTCTCTCTGCAGTGTTGAGTATTCTCAGGGTTTATGGCCCATGTGGAAGGAGGGCAGCACCATGTTTAGCCTCTGGCAGGACAGACAAAGATGTCTGACAATGTGCGAGGCTCAGCTATCCTCGGCTCTCCACAGGCAGCGTGGAATGTCTCTAATCAATTCAGCATTGTGGTTCTTATATGTTCTCCCTCTGTTATTTTCCATGGCAGGCTTAGCAAAACCCAGACAATGCAACTAGTAGTTCATTCGTCGAGTCTGAGCTGTCTGTCATCTCGCCTCATTTTCCCTCTGCGTTATCCAGCCATTTTTTCTACCCCACATGTTTATAGAATTGTGATAATTGAATGCTATGCTCAACTCCCACTACATGCTTCATATGTTGCACTCTCAGTCTTTCTCTCCTTTTCCCTCCCTCTTTTTGCCTGAGAGGGCTTTACGCTGCTCTGAGCTTCATAACAGCAATCTGTTCTGGAGAGTGGCTGCCACTCTGTAGCAACAAAGATCCTGATTACACTGGAAGAACCGTTTTTGCTTTAGTAGGTTTAAAATCTTGTGAATAAGAAAAGAGTAGCCTGAGTAGCACCGTGTTTTTAATGTATAATTATGTATAAGCAACAAGGCATTTAGCTGTAGCTTGTTAGACAAAACGCAGGGGTGGGTGGGCTGACTGGTGGAAGAGCGGGAGGGACGTCATTGCACACATTTCTTCACACACAGTATGCCTCCATGCTTTTCTTAATTCATCAGTATGGCTCTCTGTTGAGTCACAAGAAGAGCCTGTTTGTGGCTGCGTGATGTTGCGTGCACGGCTTCTATAATCATCCGCAGCAGCAAACGCAGCTGAGAGACGACGCGCCAGCTGCCGTTTTACATGTTCAGACTCAGTTATTTGTTCCTGCTCGAGGCTGGATAGAGTCAAACACGAGGGAAAGCAAATGGAGACATGGAGTGAAACGTGGAGGATTGAGAGGAAAGGAAGAATAATAAAATCAGAGGTGGGCTTGAGGTTTGAGGGAAGTGATGGTTTTCTTGGCTTCCTGCATGCCGCCTCCTCCCCAGTGACATAACAGAACAATGTACTTGAAAGGCTCTACATATCTTTACTGTGACTTCATGTTTCTTTGGAAACTGGAAAGAACGGTTAAACTGTCTGCTTTAAATTGCCCTCACTGTTTTTCCTGGTTGGTGGTTGCAGGTGGCCCAGCCTGTTTGCTCAGTGCAGCCCAATCCCATTAATAAAGATGGCTCAGGCCAACAGGATTGTGTTGCTTTCCTGTACCCAATCCTTCAGAATATTGTGTGCTTTTTTCTTCTTCTAACAACTGTGATGATCTCTTAAGCTTATGTGAAGGTGCAATAAATATTTTATATTGTGAAATGAAAACAGTATTTTGCCCTTTTCATCTCTCACCTCAACATTGGCCTCAGTTTTAGTATCCCACCCCCCACCCCACTTTCCTTTCCTTTCATGGTGTTACTTATCCTTGAAAGAGCTCTTTTACCACCTCAGTGCTGCCCCTTGCTGGTCATTTGGAGGATTACAACCAACGTCTGACTTGTTTGTGAAAAAGGCCAGTGGGTGGCAGCAATCAAATAATTTTAAGTCAAGTCTGCACCTGACAGAGTGAGCTGTTAAAGCCTTGATGGAGTGTTAAATAACTCATTTGAGTACGAAGTGAAGACAGATCAACTCTGGGTTTATCTGTCCTCCTGATGGGTTTCCACCACTGCTCTCCCAGCAATGACCAGCCCCTGTTTACTTTATTAAATCTCTAAATGCCCTACAATCCCTTTTTAATTGACTTGGTCTCTCTGCTGGCTTTCTGGCATCAGTGTGTGTGTGTGTGTGTGTGTGTGTGTGTGTGTGTGTGTGTGTGTGTGTGTGTGTGTGTGTGTGTGTGTGTGTGTGTGTGTGTGTGTGTGTGTGTGTGTGTGTGTGTGTGTGTGTGTGTGTGTGTCATAAACAGTGCATCTGTACACGTCTTTCTTTGCCAAAAGGCCAGTTTGTGACGTTGTAATCAAACAAAATGATGTCTGTTTATCTTGGTGTGGGAGCTTTCTGTGTCTCCTGTTCACTCACTCTTTCTCTCTCTGTGTGTTTCAGAGTAAACGGGACCATCTGCTGATGAATGTGAAATGGTACTACCGCCAGTCAGAGGTGCCTGACTCTGTGTATCAGCACCTGGTGCAGGATCGCAACAATGAGAACGGTGAGAGTCCTTTTATGCTCTGAAACACACCTGCTCGAATAATACACAAAGGGTAAAAGTAAATACACCTGGTTTCTGTGTCCGTGTCTCCACACACATGCACGCGCACACATGCACACACACCTACTTGTCTCTGCTCTCCAGGCTGTTGTGTGATACGGGGAGCTGGCTGTGAATTGCATCTCAAACAGAAACCAGATGACACTCTGTCCCAGGAAGCCGAGCCAATCCCACGGCTCTGTGCTGTTTCCTGGGTAACACTCCCTCAGGCCAGACAGCAGCACTGTCGAGTGTTAATAACCCGCAGTGTCACGCGGCCCTTGAGCTTACACCCTCTCAGCACCGTCGCTGCCAGAGGACTCTTCACACTAACTCATACACATCTACAGGAACACGGGCTCTGTCAGGGATATTTTGCTGCTGAATATGACAAAAAACTGAGGTTGAAGTAGTTAGATGATGGATAAGGATTTAGATTTTAATCACAGAGAAGACCCCTAATGCCATATTACATTATTATTGAATTAATTGATATTAATTGTATCGTTTAACATGACAATCAGTTATTATGACCTTCTCTGTTGTTCTTTGACAATTATGTGTAGTTGAACATATTTTTCTTATTATTAATATAATTATTTGGTAGTGGACACACACAAATCTGAAACCCTTAACTATCAATTGTTTTAGTTTCATTTGAAAGGTGCTGGTTGTTCTGAGCACTTTTACTCAAACTGGAGTTTTAGGAACAAGCAGTTGTGTGTACTCAGTCTGATGACACACTTAACTCTCCTGCTGACACATCCTGTTAGGACTTGGCAGCACTCGTTTGCTTTCCTGCTCTTGATTTACTTCATGGAAAACGAGCCAGTCCAAATTATTACTGTTTAAAAGGAACGTTGTATCCAGACAACAAATCAAGCTAAACTGGACGCTGGGCTGTTAAGATGATCACACCACCACCTTTGATGCTGTTAAACAAACCGCTTCAGTTCGCTGCAGCTCTCGGCTCTCCGCGGTCTCATTGCAGCAGGATTTAAAGAATTTATTTCACCAGGATGGAGCTCAGCGGTCACAGTTTGAGTCCTCGGCTCCTTCTTGGAGAGACTTCTTAACCCGTATGAGGTTATTTCACTCAGAGAACTGAACATTACATTATTCTCTCATGAGAAGGCAGATTGTTGACTCCATTGAATTATGGGACATAATATTGAAGTCTGCAGAGCTTCTTTCTACTGTGAGTGGAAACAGTTGTTCAAATGGTTTTAGAAAATACAAAAGTAGAATATTTTTGTGTTAAGTATATTAAACAAGAGTGTTTTCTTTTCTCTGCAGACTCTGGACGTGAGCTGGTCATCACAGATCCAGTGGTCAGGAGTCGAGAACTCTTCATCTCTGACTATGTGGACACTTACCATGCTGCTGCTCTCAGGTACACAAACACACACTGTAGAGCTTTGTAATCATAGTTGTGATGGGAGAGAGGAGCTGCACTTTGATGGTACAGTAGTAGGTTTCAGAAGGTGTCTTTTCCACTCAGGAGTGCTGTTAGTTCTCCCTGTTTGGGGAGCTCACAGTAATAGCAAATTTTAATGTTTTAAAAAAATGTAACACAAATTTGAAATACATGTTAGACACCTTTTGTGGCGCCCTCTGCTGTCCTTCAGGCTTGACATACTTCCCTTTGGTCAACCTGGTTTTATAATTAATTAGAATAGTTGGTTTTCATTTAAATAGTGAGAAATAGATCATTTAGGAATAATCCACATTATTAAATCAACATTTTATATTAGAATGTTAAAGGTCAAAATCATTTAAACACTCTACTGTGGACCAGAATAAATATCCAGATGTTTGCATTTCTATGAGCAGCTAAATAATTGTATTGTGTCATTTATTATTTTTGACCACTTGAGTGAAACCAGATTAGTTAGTTTTTAATTAAAAATGCTGTATGGATTTATTAGATTATTTACCCCTTAAACCTGTTTGACGGGGTATTCAAAGACATCAAAGGGCCAACCGCCTCCCACTGACACTTGGTAAAACACTTATTAAGAAGTAGCTGCATCAAACACACACACACACACACACACACACACACACACACACACACACACACACACACACACACACACACACACACACACACACACACACACCTGACTGCTATAGTCAGCAGGAACATGCAGGTTTAATCAGGGATCATTCTTTGCCCCTGCCTCTCCATCCACTCTTCACTAACACACACCACCACCCCCCTAAGTAGAACCATCTGTGAGCTGCTAAGCCATGTCTTCCAGAAACCACTGATTTCAGGGAAAATTAGCTGCAACCTCTCCTACACAGAGCTGCCTTTGATTTGACTTATTCTCCAGGCTTTAGATAAACGAGAGGGAATTCCAGTGGGATGCTGTAATGCCGCAGCGCTCCAAAGCCGGCTCTCCTTAGCGCACTTTAATCTTTTTCTTTTTTTAGGGGGAGGAAGATACTGTTTTTCTGCTAGGCAGCCTAACTCTGTACGCCTGTGATGTCTGTTATTTTGATAAAGTCAGACACCAGGGGGGCTGGAAACAGGAAATGTTATCAAGATGTGGTCAGAACTTCAGTACTGTTGGATCCCTGGGGGGTAGTCGTGACTATCCGGGAGGGAAGCCAGGTTGCATTCCTTTCCAGATCTGTGTGGCGTCCGTCTCTCCCACCCCAGCATCAGGAGACGAGTTAGGGCCGACCATTTTCAGCTGATGTTTACAGCTTCAGTAGCCAGAGCCTGATGTCTCAGACGCTTCTTCATCTAATTACAGATTCTTCTGCTCCTGTTAGGGCATCTAGCTGCATCTGTCTAATACAGCTACTTGTCTATCCTGCAGGGGGAAATGCAACATTTCTCATTTCTCTGACATTTTTGCTGCCCGGGAGTTCAAAGCCCGCATCGACTCCTTTTTCTACATTCTTGGATACAATCCAGAGACCAGGTGAGCAGCTTTACACCCCTTTTACTCTTCTTGATATGTGATAAAGGCTGCCAGTTTCAACTCCCCATGTCTAAAGCAAAAGAAAATAAATCACAGTGAAACACTTTGTTTAGTCAGACACCCAAATATTCTGTTCAATTTCATGTAAAAAAGCAGATTCTTGCAACAAGTAAAGCAGAACCATTTCATTTGTAGCTCTGAGTGTAGAAAATTGCCACAGTACTGCCACATTTAGGTCAAACTGATTATTTTGTTAGCTCATTTGTCACATAATTGTTCTATTTAACACATGAAGTTATTTTGGGTTCTGTTTGACCTATAAAGATAAAAAAAAAAGCATGCGGTGTGAGAGCTTTTCTCAAAGACTCATCAGATTTTAGCTTAGCATCAAAATCTTCAAGAACTGCATGTAAAATAGCAAAAAGTATAATGACACATTTTTATATTTTCAGCCTCTTGTTAATGTTACATTTGTTTAGAGGCTAGAAAATTAAATAAAGAGCAAGTCACCTCAAATCTACTCATTTTTGCTGATAAACTACATAAATGAGTGTCTAATTGCTCCGCTAGACTCCAGGGGAATAAAGACAAAGACCCAGGTTAGAAATCTTGGTGTTATTATTGACTCTGACCTGAGCTTCTCTGGAGATATTAAGGCTATAACTAAATCAGCGTTTTATCACCTTCATCAAATATCAAGAGTCAGAGGTCTCATGTCCAGACCAGACTTAGAGAAACTTATTCATGCTTTTATTTCTAGTGGGCTGGACTACTGCAATGGTCTCCTAACTGGTCTTTCCAAAAAAGCTGTGAAGCAACTGTAACTTATTCAGAATGCTGCTGCTAGAGTCTTAACAAGAACTAAGAGAATGGAGCACATCACTCCTGTTCGTAGATCTCTACACTGGTTACCAGTAAACTACAGGATAGATTTCAATTTCAGAGTGCTCCCTACTAGTTTATAAATCACTCAATGGCATGGGACCAAATACATATCTGATCTCATTCCTGTATATACACCCAATAGGGCTCTGAGATCCCTTGGAAACAATCAGCTGGTAGACCCTCGGGTCAGAACAAAACATGGTGGGGATGCATTTAGTTACTATGCTGCTCACATATGGAATCAGCTTCCCCATGACCTCAGATGTGCCCCAACCCTAGTGTTGTTTAAAACAAAACTAAAAACCCTAATGTACTCATCAGCCTTTAAATTAATTGTTTCTGATCCACTGTAATCTGTGCTGTAACTTTGTCTTCACCTTTAGTGCAAAACTGTAATTCCATTTGTGTCTATTTTAATTAGTTTTTTTAATGTTGTTTTCATATCATATCCTGATAATTATAAAGCACATTGAATTGCCTCTGTGTTTGAAATGTGCTCTATAAATAAAGTTGCCTTGCCTAATCATGTTGTAGACAAGTGTAGTCAATAATTTGGCACTTCAGTGCATCTTAGTTCAAATTTAAATATTCTGCCTAAAACTGTCAGTGTTGCACCCTCTTCAGATAAAAACTCTGCACTGCATTTAAATTTAAATCTGCCATCACTATTGCCTAAGAGGTACTCTATGATGCATTTGAATTAAAAGAGCGAGTAACGCCTACATTAACTTTTCTTTGCTGATGACCTGTATAGATGAGTGTCTATTAGTGCTGTAGACGTGTGTTATCATTAGTGTGGCAGTTTGGTGCAGCTTACTTTAAATTTAATATTTCAGGCCAAAACTGTGATTAAAGCTCCTAACCTGGCCTGCCAGACCCTTCCTCTGTTTAATTCTGCACAGAGAATAAGTCTGGTAACTCCTATGCAAGTAACCCCACCCCCTGAGAATTCTACCCCAGCCAATCAGCGCTGAGCAGCGTATGTCACACACCGCGATGCTCAGTTTCTCAAAAAACGAAGCTGGCGTTTGAAGTGGAGTTTGCCGCGCCTCTTTCCTCTTTGACATGTCTTTAAAGCCACACCAAAAAGAACCACTAAAAGCCTTTCTTCTAAAGAAAGATGTTTGCACAGGCGCCCTTTTTGACTACATCTAAAAGACTACAGCGTTGCGCGGTAAAGTCGGCATTTCTGCATTTTTTCTGATTGGTTATTTTTTAGCTGGTTAGTCCTACCTCTCATGTGCCTCTCTGCCTTTGAGTAACCATATGTACTCTGCTTAGTGCTGATTGGCTCAGTTGGAATTCTCAGGGGGTGGGGTCATTTGCATGGGAGAGTTACCAGACTCATTCTCTGTGCAGAATTAAACAGAGGAAGGGTCTGGCAGGCCAGGCTATATATCTCCAGCTTCAGGTTAAAACCTCTGCTCCACATTTATTTAGAATCAGCTGTGGCTGATGGCTAAGCAGAAAAACGTGACATTGTCAGCAAATTTCTATGTGGCTGCACTGCACTGGTCTCCAGGTGAGGCAAATGAAAGTGCTGATGAAATAAGTCTCCACCCATGCCTTTACTCTCACTTTAAACCTGCCATCGCTATTGGCTAATAGGTACCCTATGACGTTAGCTGGTACCATATGATGTCACAATGGCACTGTGAACCTGTGTGTGTTTGTTAGCAGCTCCACCCTCTCGGTCTGCCAGACAACGCCTCCTTGTGGCACATTATCAAACAGGAAAAGGAGTGGACTTGCTCTTTAAATGAGCAGTTTTTATCATCTAAAATATATTCAGGTTTTACTGGGCATTCTAACAAACCTTGGGTCTTAAGGGATTATTTGCTGTAACAAAATAGCTTTTGAAGCTGCAGGTATGCAATTAAAATGAGGAGACATATTATGATATTTATTAGCAACACAGCAATAATCATAATTATTATCTGTAGTAGTTTTTCTTTTTTCTTTTTAACCTTCCTCCATTTTCTGTGATTTCAATAATCTGATTATGCCTTATGCTCATTACACCTGATAATCTCATCAGTACACAAAGAATGATTTTAATGCAGCATAATTAAGGGAAATTTGCTGAAACCCCCTGTGGTTTTTTAATAGTTTCAACATTGACTGTATTAGTTAAATTATGTCAGGTCTTGAAAGGGTGCTCGCTGCAGAACCACAAAGGCGGAGCTGCACCAGGGTCAGCCCCGCCCATTCACGCAAACTCAGCCTAGCCCACTGACTTCCGTTTTTGTTTTCCAACTTCATCGCAAACTAACCTGACCCACATGAATTATGGCTGTTACTACTTTACAAATGTTAATGCTATGTTCTATGCTCCAATTAAACAAGATAAATATAACTTGCTACATGACAAAGCCTGAATACATCTTGAAATGAAACGATTTCTTTTAGCAGATATCTGCCCACAGCCGCTCTAACAATAATGTGGTGCAACAGCATGGGTGATTGTCATATGTGCTCTGGTAGTCCAGTGGTAAGATCATCTGAAGCAAATTTTGCTTCCCCCTCAGCAGATGCTGGTTCGATTCTCGGTGAGGTCGGCATCAATCTATTTAGCCAGCTGAAACATTGAATTTGTTTATATTTTAGTTGTAATGTTTATTTTCAGCAAAATATTTATGTCTCTAAAAGTTCTTTGAATTTGGTCGTTCCTAAACAGCATTTTAGTTGAAACTCTGCTCACAAATGGACTCACAATGGCTAAATAAACGAATAAATAAATAAACACATTAGTCATTATATTGTAAACGGTATACCAGTAAATTGTTGTAAACAGTACTGGCAAGTGTAGCTAGAAATTAAGAAAAGGGGTTGTAATCTACCTAAGATTTCTGCCACTGGGAGTCGAACCTGCGCAAAACTGCATGCAAACCTGCCTCCATAGCCTCTACCCCACCACATCTGATATGAAGTAAGTGGCGTTACATGTAATTGTCCTATCCAGTATGTCTTTGGAGATGGGATGTATGGTTTATTGGCGGTGTCTCAGTAGAAGTCATTTCAGAAATAATTTGTCAGAAAATTCACAGAATATCCAGATTTGAGAACCAAGACCAGACCCACTTCAGGGGAGGAGACCAAATTGAAGCTGAGATGGGAGGAAAATGCATGAATGAGGCCAAAAATGGCTTTGGCGTGTTTCTTATGAGGAAATGACAATATAACATGATAAAAAGTTCCAAAAGTTAGATTTTTAATTATATGGAACCTTTACAAAAACTGTTCAGTTAACTTCTCACCTCCGTCCTCAATCTTGTATTTTTTAGCTATAAAACCCTCTTTGGTTCCAGAATGCTATCAAGTCTGACAACTGGAAGGAATTGTACTGACTCTGATGGAATGGACGGGGCTGACTCTGGAATGGGCGGGGCTGACCCTGGTGCAGCTCCACCTTCTGGTGCAGCTCCACCTTTGTGGTTCTGCAGCGAGCACCACTTGCAGGTCTTAAATACTTTTTTTTTTTTTGTTCTTTGGGTTTTTTTTTTTTTTTTTTTTGCATTCAGTTTCACGACGCGCATTTTTGACATGTGGCAACAGGAGAAGTGTTGGTGAAATGAATATCAGATAATGGACATTGGTACCTCAAACAGTCTTAAAAGATTATATTTAATAGTTTTTCTGCTTTTCTTTCTTGTGCCTTTTAATTTAAAAAATGAACTTCTTTTTGTTGTTTTGTTATTGTGGGTTATCAGTCTACAATTGATGATAGAAATAATTAAAAAATGTCTGTTATAATAATTTTTTTTTTTGCTGTTTTAGATATTAGTTCAGATTCCCTTTTTCATCTCCACATTTAAACTCCTTTCAACACTCCACAAGAAATTTAAAAGTAAAAATTAGATTAGACACACTACTGCTCTAATGCAGCAATGCAATAATGTTATTGAAGGATAAAAATCTGATAAGAAAAATATTAAGACTTGAGCTGTCACAAAGAGTAGTCGGACAGGGAAGAGTGTGGATAACAATCTCAAGTTCAGAGCGAGACAGAATGGGACTCAGCTTAGCTATGTTCCTGAGATGGGAGAAGGAAGAGCAAACAAGAGAACTAACATGAGAATCCAGGGTTAGAGCTGGGTCAAAGGTCACACCAAGAT